GATGGTAGTTATGGGGCGACGAACACGAGCTAATATGCAAGCAGTGTATGAGCGAAGACCAGGGGCCAGATTCACAAAAGCACTTACGCAAGCACTTATGAACCTGTACATTTTATCTCAATCTTTGGTGACTTTATTTCCAATTATTAAACAGTTAATGAGCTCCGAAGCACCAGGAGGCTGTTTATAACAATAACAACAGTTGAATGGGAAGTTTTCATGCTTGTAAACTGTTTAATAAATGTAACCAAAGCCGTCAAAGATTGAGGGAAGATGTACACGTTCGTAAGTGCTTGCGTAAGTGCTTTCGTGAATCTGGCCCCAGAATCTTTCCTGCGTGTCGAAAGGTTCCTGGAAATAGCCTTAGCTACTCTATCCACTTGAGATGTATTTCTTTCTTGTCTCAATAAACATACTTGAATTTGAACTTGGGTTCCTGGATGAATGTGAGGACACAGGTGAATGCGTCATGACAAAACTGAATATTGATATATAATGAAACTCTGGAGACGACCTGAGACGACTAACGGACCTGACAACACTGCATCTGACAACGCAACACCTGACAACGCAACACCTGACAACGCAACATCTAACAACGCAACACCTGACAACGCAACACCTGACAACGCAACATCTAACAACGCAACACCTGACAACGCAACACCTGACAACGCAACACCTGACAACGCAACATCTAACAACGCAACACCTGACAACGCAACACCTGACAACGCAACATCTAACAACGCAACACCTGACAACGCAACACCTGACAACGCAACATCTAACAACGCAACACCTGACAATGCAACATCTAACAACGCAACACCTGACAACGCAACATCTAACAACGCAACACCAGACAACGCAACACCTAACAACGCAACACCTGACAACGCAACACCTGACAACGCAACACCTGACAATGCAACACCTAACAACGCAACACCGGACAACGCAACACCTAACAACGCAACACCTGACAACGCAACACCTAACAACGCAACACCTGACAACGCAACATCTAACAACGCAACACCAGACAACGCAACACCTAACAACGCAACACCTGACAACGCAACATCTAACAACGCAACACCTGACAACGCAACATCTAACAACGCAACATCTAACAACGCAACACCTGACAACGCAACACCTAACAACGCAACACCTGACAACGCAACACCTGACAACGCAACACCTGACAATGCAACACCTAACAACGCAACACCGGACAACGCAACACCTAACAACGCAACACCTGACAACGCAACACCTAACAACGCAACACCTGACAACGCAACATCTAACAACGCAACACCAGACAACGCAACACCTAACAACGCAACACCTGACAACGCAACATCTAACAACGCAACACCTGACAACGCAACATCTAACAACGCAACATCTAACAACGCAACACCTGACAACGCAACATCTAACAACGCAACACCAGACAACGCAACACCTAACAACGCAACACCTGACAACGCAACACCTGACAACGCAACACCTGACAACGCAACATCTAACAACGCAACATCTAACAACGCAACACCTGACAACGCAACATCTAACAATGCATCACCAAACAACGCAACACCTGACAACGCAACATCTAACAACGCAACACCTGACAACGCAACATCTAACAACGCAACACCAGACAACGCAACACCAGACAACGCAACACCTGACAACGCAACACCTGACAACGCAACACCTGACAACGCAACATCTAACAATGCATCACCAGACAACGCAACATCTAACAACGCAACACCTGACAACGCAACATCTAACAACGCAACACCAGACAACGCAACATCTAACAACGCAACACCTGACAACGCAACATCTAACAACGCAACACCTAACAACGCAACACCTGACAACGCAACATCTAACAACGCAACACCTGACAACGCAACATCTAACAACGCAACACCTGACAATGCAACATCTAACAACGCAACACCTGACAACGCAACACCTAACAACGCAACACCTAACAACGCAACATCTAACAACGCAACACCTGACAACGCAACATCTAACAACGCAACACCTGACAACGCAACATCTAACAACGCAACACCTGACAACGCAACACCTGACAACGCAACACCTGACAACGCAACACCTGACAACGCAACATCTAACAACGCAACATCTAACAACGCAACACCTAACAACGCAACATCTAACAACGCAACACCTGACAACGCAACATCTAACAACGCAACACCTAACAACGCAACACCTAACAACGCAACATCTAACAACGCAACATCTAACAACGCAACACCTGACAACGCAACACCTGACAACGCAACACCTGACAACGCAACATCTAACAACGCAACACCTGACAACGCAACACCTGACAACGCAACACCTGACAACGCAACACCTGACAACGCAACATCTAACAACGCAACACCTGACAACGCAACACCTGACAACGCAACATCTAACAACGCAACACCTGACAACGCAACACCTGACAACGCAACACCTAACAACGCAACACCTGACAACGCAACACCTGACAACGCAACACCTGACAACGCAACACCTGACAACGCAACACCTGACAACGCAACATCTAACAACGCAACACCTGACAACGTAACACCTGACAACGCAACACCTGACAACGCAACATCTAACAACGCAACACCTGACAACGCAACACCTGACAACGCAACACCTGACAACGCAACACCTGACAACGCAACACCTGACAACGCAACATCTAACACTGCAACACCTAACAACGCAACATCTAACAACGCAACACCTAACAACGCAACACCTAACAACGCAACATCTAACAACGCAACACCTGACAACGCAACATCTAACAACGCAACACCTGACAACGCAACATCTAACAACGCAACACCTGACAACGCAACATCTAACAATGCATCACCAAACAACGCAACACCTGACAACGCAACACCTGACAACGCAACACCTGACAACGCAACACCTGACAACGCAACATCTAACAACGCAACACCTGACAACGCAACACCTGACAACGCAACACCTGACAACGCAACACCTGACAACGCAACACCTGACAACGCAACATCTAACAACGCAACATCTAACAACGCAACACCTGACAACGCAACATCTAACAATGCATCACCAAACAACGCAACACCTGACAACGCAACACCTGACAACGCAACACCTGACAACGCAACATCTAACAACGCAACATCTAACAACGCAACACCTGACAACGCAACATCTAACAATGCATCACCAAACAACGCAACACCTGACAACGCAACACCTGACAACGCAACACCTGACAACGCAACATCTAACAACGCAACATCTAACAACGCAACATCTAACAATGCATCACCAAACAACGCAACACCTGACAACGCATCACCAAACAACGCAACACCTAACAACGCAACACCTGACAACGCAACACCTGACAACGCAACACCTGACAACGCAACACCTGACAACGCAACACCTGACAACGCAACACCTGACAACGCAACACCTGACAACGCAACACCTGACAACGCAACACCTGACAACGCAACACCTACCTACGCAAAGATGTTTGAAAATAAAATCTCTCGAGAATAAATCAATCCCACGAAACCCCACGTTAAGCAACCATTGTTGGTCAGCAGTTAGTATATTTAAACCCAATATGTTCCCCGAGTGTGTGTATACTCCTGTGTTGAGTATACCCTCGAGTGTTTGTTGTATGAGGTCTTAGCTCAACCACTTGGGCTGGACGATAGAGCAACGGTCTCGCTTTCATGCTGGTCGGAGTTCAATCCTCGACCGTCCAAGTGTGGTTGAGGCCTCATTCCAAGGGGATTAAACAGAATAAAGGATCATTTAAGATAACGATCTGCTCATAATTATCTAAGTTTATCGTGATCCCAAACACTTATCCTTATCATTTTAAATGCTATGTAGTCGTAATGCATTGGTGCTTTCTAACGACAATTACCTAACCATCCGTGAGGTCTGAATAAGTCTCCTTAATGCTGATAGGACTAAAATATACTTAGTGGTTGGTCAGTTTCTGTGTGACCTTAATAACCCCCCATAAGGCTGACAGCGCTACAGCCCAACACTGAAGTAACAGCACGCAGAGTCGCCAAAAAATATATATATATATATATATATATATATATATATATATATATATATATATATATATATATATATATATATATATATATATCACAGTGTGAACTTTAACAAAATGTAAACTCAAGTTAACGACCGTAAACTCTCCACGAGGCTTAACGATACATCGATGAGTAATGAAAAATCCCACATAATAACGAGCCAGAATTGCCGGAGCGGGGAAAATCTTTCTCAAGTGGAATGAAACATATACAGACAAGTTGGAATAGCCTCGATGGCAACTACGAGTAAACCGGAGGAGTTGCCATGTAGGATGGCAAGGGAGAGGAGTTGCCATGCCACATGTCAAGTGGAAAGCAAGATACATGTAAGATACCAACACAAGGTGCAGAGTTGCCATGCTTGAGGGCGAGGACTGGCGTCGTTGCCAGACATGTGTAACATTCCACTATACGTTGCCTTAGTACCTACATGGCAGAATACCTCCTCGCCTATGGCCTTGCGTTGATCTCGCGGATCAATGTCCTCATGGCCCGGTCTCTTGGAGGGAGTGTTAGGTCATTGCCGGAGATAACAGAGTTAGGTCAAAGGTTATGACACGACTAGTATCGATATTTCTTACGTTCTCTTTCGCCGGCTAAGGAAGTTAAAATATATATTTTTTAAAGTATATTTAACAAATTTATAGGCCTGATGTGTGTAATTAAAGGTCACGTTTCACTGAGTCTATGTTGCAACATTGTTGGATTTAGATGAAAAGTGAATCCAAAAAATTCCGGTTAGACATTATACGTGAATTGTAAAATGAGGTGAGGTGTTAGATTCCAAGTAATGGGGTTATTAGGTCACTTTGTTATTGAATATTCGTTGGTCGGTTGGACCAACTTGTCCAGTTGGTCTAGCCGACCATCTGGTCCTTTCTTGGTCTTGGGTGGTCCTTTCTTGGTCTTGGGTGGTCCTTTCTTGGTCTTGGGTGGTCCTTTCTTGGTCTTGGTTGGTCCTTTCTTGGTCTTGGGTGGTCCTTTCTTGGTCTTGGGTGGTCCTTTCTTGGTCTTGGTTGGTCCTTTCTTGGTCTTGGGTGGTCCTTTCTTGGTCTTGGGTGGTCCTTTCTTGGTCTTGGGTGGTCCTTTCTTGGTCTTGGGTGGTCCTTTCTTGGTCTTGGGTGGTCCTTTCTTGGTCTTGGGTGGTCCTTTCTTGGTCTTGGGTGGTCCTTTCTTGGTCTTGGGTGGTCCTTTCTTGGTCTTGGTTGGTCCTTTCTTGGTCTTGTAGCAGACAGTTAGACGATTTACCGGCTACTCATGCCCTTGCCACCTCTTGGGTGGCTTAATCTTCATCAATCAAGCACTCAATCTGTAGGTCGAACATAAGAGTGATGCGACTGCTGAGAGTTGGATGAGAGTGTTTGATCTGTACAGGTTCGGCTGTGTCTAATCTCCTAATGTAATCGTATCTGTCGTTAATTTGGGTGTCAAGATATGTCTAGTCCTTGTCTGGTTGATGCAGGATGAGTGTGATCAGTGATAAGAGTCTTATAAGTGTGGCTTTGGAGGGATATTTTTTTGACAGGGCTCAAGCTCCTGTTCCCGCCTACAGCGGTGTTTACGGGCACGGTTTATAACACGGAGTTACTTATGTTATTAACTACAATAAAACCAGCAAACAAGGAAGAAGAAAGTAGTCTTAAATATGCGCATAAACTGTTATATTTTCTCCAGAACAAGTGAGATGGTCCTAAAGGAGCGACTGGAGATCCTGCTAGATATCATCTTAGACCTTCCTCACCCCACGACTGATTTGGAATTTTGCATATATATTTTTTAATATACCGTATTGATATCCTACATATTGAGGATTTGATTCACTGGTGAAGGAGTACACATCTCCGAGCTCCTCAGTTTTCGGGTAGGAACCGAGGGATATACAACAAAGGTTTACCCTCTGGATTGTTACACTTAGACGCTGACAAAGAAAGCAGGCAGCTCTTGGATCTCCAGTTGCGTCAATGGACCTAGAACCCGAGGGTCTCCACATGCTATGTTGACAAATATGTACAAAAAGCACAGTTTCCTATACATGTTAGCATGTTAGATCTGACCATAGAACAATCTGCTCTCACGACTCGTAACATAAATTGCAAAAATAATAGATAGTTAAACCGCACTTACCTTCTTTAGAGGGATTATTATTCAGAAAATTTCACACATAAATATCCTAACTTTTGTACCAGCAATAATAATAATAAAATAAATAAATTTTAATGTATTGTCCCAATAAATCATAAACATATAGATTAGCTGGGTATATATATATTCACAGGCTCAACTCACTGGGATAATCTCAGTTTGAAAGTAGCTTTATGTGTGACCCAGACAATAATTTATATCATATCCACACACACACACACACACACACACACACACACACACACACACACACACACACACACAAACACACACACACACACACACACACACACAATGTGTGTGTGTGTGTCATTGTCAATGTTTGCAGATGACGCAAAATTAATGAGAAGAGTTGTGACAGACGAGGATTGTAGGATCCTCCAAGAGGACTTAAACAGGCTGCAGAGATGGTCAGGGAAATGGCTACTGGAGTTTAACACCAGTAAATGTAAAGTTATGGAAATAGGATCAGGTGACAGGAGACCAAAGGGACAGTACACAATGAAGGGGAACAGCCTACCTGTAACGATTCGAGAAAGAGACCTGGGAGTGGATGTGACACCTAATCTAACTCCTGAGGCACATATAAATAGGATAACGACAGCAGCGTACTCTACACTGGCGAAAATTAGAACTTCATTCAGAAACCTAAATGAGGAAGCTTTTAGGGCACTTTACACTGCCTACGTGAGACCCGTCTTAGAGTATGCCGCGCCATCATGGAGCCCCCACCTGAAGAAACACATAAAGAAACTGGAGAAGGTTCAGAGGTTTGCGACGAGGCTTGTCCCAGAGTTACGAGGGATGGGATATGAAGAGCGGCTGAAGGAACTGAACCTAACGACACTAGAGAAAAGAAGGGAGAGAGGAGATATGATAGGGACATATAAAATACTCAGGGGAATTGATAAAGTGGAAATAGATGAAATGTTCACACGTAACAATAACAGAACGAGGGGACATGGGTGGAAACTGGAAACTCAGATGAGTCACAGAGATGTTAGGAAGTTTTCTTTTAGCGTGAGAGTAGTAGAAAAATGGAATGCGCTTGGGGAACAGGTTGTGGAAGCAAATACTATTCATACTTTTAAAACTAGGTATGATAGGGAAATGGGACAGGAGTCATTGCTGTAAACAACCGATAGCTAGAAAGGCGAGATCCAAGAGTCAATGCTCGATACTGCAAGCACATATAGGTGAGTACATATAGGTGAGTACACACACACACACACACACACACACACACACACACACACACACACACACACACACACACACACACACACACACACACACACACACACACAGCGAAGAAACTGAACAAAAGGGCGTGGAGGAACTTCCGGAATAACAGAACACCAGAAAGCAGAGAGAGATACCAGAGAACCAGGAATGAGTATGTCAGGGTGAGAAGAGAAGTAGAGAAAAATTTTGAAAATGATATAGCAAACAAAGCCAAGACCGAACCAAAGCTACTCCACAGTCACATCAGAAGGAAAACAACAGTGAAAGAACAGGTATTGAAACTTCGAACAGGCGAGGACAGGTATACAGAGAATGACAGAGAGGTGTGTGAAGAACTCAACAAGAGGTTCCAGGAGGTCTTCACAATAGAACAAGGTGAGGTCACTGTGCTAGGAGAAAGGGAGGTAAACCAGGAAGAGTTCGAAATTACGAGAGAGGAGGTCAAGAGACACCTGCTGGATCTGGATGTTAGAAAGGCTGTTGGTCCAGATGAGATCTCACCATGGGTACTGAAAGAGTGTGCAGAGGCACTTTGCTTGCCACTCTCCATAGTGTATAGTAAGTCACTGCAGACGGGAGACCTACCAGAAATATGGAAGACGGCGAATGTGGTCCCAATATACAAAAAGGGCGACAGGCAAGAGGCACTGAACTACAGGCCAGTGTCCTTGACTTGTATACCAAGAAAGGTGATGGAGAAGATCGTGAGAAAAAACCTGGTAACACATCTGGAGAGAAGGGACTTCGTGACAAATCGCCAACATGGGTTCAGGGAGAAAAATCTTGCCTTACAGGCTTGATAGAATTCTACGATCAGGTGACAAAGATTAAGCAAGAAAGAGAGGGCTGGGCGGACTGCATTTTCTTGGATTGTCGGAAAGCCTTTGACACAGTAACGCATAAGAGGCTGGTACATAAGCTGGAGAGACAGGCAGGTGTAGCTGGTAAGGTGCTCCAGTGGATAAGGGAGTATCTAAGCAATAAGAAGCAGAGAGTTACGGTGAGGGGTGAGACCTCCGATTGGCGTGAAGTCACCAGTGGAGTCCCACAGGGCTCTGTACTCGGTCCTATCTTGTTTCTGATATATATAAATGATCTCCCGGAGGGTATCGATTCATTTCTCTCAATGTTTGCGGACGATGCTAAAATTATGAGAAGGATTAAAACAGAAGAGAACTGTTTGAGGCTTCAAGAAGACCTAGACAAGCTGAAGGAATGGTCAAACAAATGGTTGTTAGAGTTTAACCCAACCAAATGTAATGTAATGAAGATAGGTGTAGGGAGCAGGAGGCCAGATACAAGGTATCATCTGGGAGAGGAAATTCTTCAGGAGTCAGAGAAGGAAAAAGACTTGGGGGTTGATATCACGCCAGACCTGTCTGGCGTGATATCCATCATGACCTGCAGGTCATGATGGATTTTGTCACCCAGAAGTGCCAGGAAGCTGCAGACAGGTTTATCCCCGTCCAAAAGGAGAAACACGAAAAACAACAGAAAAACCCATGGTTCAACCAGGAATGCAAGGTAGCGAAGCAACTGAGTAAAAGAACATGGAGAAACTACAGAAATAACAGAACACCAGAGAGCAGAGAGAGATACCAGAGGGCCAGAAATGAGTACCTTAGAGTGAGGAGGGAAGCAGAGAGACAGTTTGAAAATGACATCGCGAGAAAAGCCAAGACCCAACCAAAGCTGCTCCACAGCCACATCAGAAGGAAAACAGCAGTGAAGGAACAAGTGATGAAGCTGCGAAAAGCGGAGAACAGATACACAGAGAATGACAAGGAGGTGTGTGAAGAACTCAACAAGAGATTCCAGGAGGTCTTCACAATAGAACAAGGAGAAGCCCCTGCACTAAATGAGGAGGCGGCAAACCAAGCAACCTTGGAGGAATTTGACCTCACCAGTGATGAGGTCAAAAGGTGTCTGCTGGAGCTGGATGTGACAAAGGCTGTTGGGCCTGACAGAATCTCACCATGGATAATCAAGGAAGGTGCAGAAGCACTAAGTGTGCCACTCTCTATGGTGTCTAACAGGTCACTGGCATCAGGAGACTTACCAGAAAGTTGGAAGACAGCTAACGTAGTCCCAATATACAAAAAGGGTGACAGGCAAGAGGCACTGAATTACAGGCCAGTTTTCTTAACTTGTATACCATGCAAGGTGATGGAGAAGATCGTGAAGAAAAGGCTCGTAGAGCATCTGGAGGAAAATAACTTTGTAACGCACCACCAACATGGGTTCAGGGATGGTAAATCGTGCCTCACAGGTTTAATATAATTTTATGACCAGGCAACAAAAATTAGGCAGGAAAGAGAAGAGTGGGCCGACTGCATTTTCCTGGATTGCCAAAAAGCCTTTGACACAGTACCCCATAAAAGGCTGTTAAAAAAGTTGGAGCAACAGGCAGGAGTAAAAGGGAAGGTGCTCCAGTGGATAAGGGAGTACTTAAGCAACAAGAAACAGCGAGTAACGGTGAGGGGGGGAGACATCAGAGTGGCGAGATGTCACCAGCGGAGTCCCACAGGGCTCAGTACTTGGACCCATCCTGTTTCTAATATATGTGAACAAAGAACGATCTTCCGGAGGGTATAGACTCATTCCTCTCAATGTTTGCTGATTATGAGTAAATGAGTAAAAATTATGAGAAGAATCAAGACGGATGAAGATAGACAGAGACTACAGGATGACCTGGATAAACTGGAGGAATGGTCTAGAAAATGGCTGCTAAAGTTCAACTCGGGAAAGTGTAAAGGGATGAAATTAGGCGAAGGGATCAGGAGGCTGAACACAAGATATCATCTGAGAGGTGAAAACCTGCAAGAGTCAAATAG